GACGCTACCCCCACTGATACATACCGTATCACCAGATCAAAGCCGGACATGCCAAGCAAGGCCAGCAGGGATACGAACTAACCTCCCCTCTGCAAAACTCACGATTTTTCTTTGGATGCAGACATTTGGATTGCGAAAGCATCTGACATACTATACACTCACGAGACAAACGTTGTTCAGGAATACGACTCTCAGAATTGTTACATTTACCAGCATCTGCTATCCACGCGCGCCGGCGATATTCCCTGTATCGCAATGTCCCCGGCAGTCACAATATTGCAACCTGCTATCAGCTAAGAAACCCTATTTGCCATTTTATTATATTTTTTTTGCATTGCATAAGGCTACCATTCTGCCTTCCGAGACTAAACATTGTCTCCATCTGCATTTTGCTGCATTGCATAAGGCTACTATTCTGCCTTCCGAGACTAAACACTGTCTCCATCTGCATTTTTGCATTGCATAAGGCTACTATTCTGCCTTCCGAGACTAAACACTGTCTCCATCTGCATTTTNCAAAACCACCAAGAATAACCAAACATGACCGGTAAACTCGATCCACAACAAGAGAATCTCCCACAGGAGTAGAAACATAAACTGGGGAACTCAAAGAATCCCGAGGTACCCCCAAATACGGAGCAAAATAAGAAGACACATAAGAGTAATTGGAGCCTGGATCGAATAGAACCGATGCATCTCTGTGACAAACCAAGATAGTACCTGTGATGACAGAATCGGAGGCGGCAGCCTCAGTACGGCCTGGAAGGGCATAATATCTGGCCTGGCCTCCCCCTCGAGGGTGACCTCTACCTCCCCGACCTTCACATCTGGCTGGCTGGGCCGGTGGAGTAGCAACCGGTGCTGGAACCATAGCCTGAAAGCTCTGCGGGGCCTGCTGTGGCTGAGGAGTCTATGGGGGTGCAGCCCTCCCAAGTCTGCGGCAATCCCTCACCACATGGCGTGTGTCACCACACTCAAAACAAGCTCTGGGAAGACGTGGCGACTGTGACTGGCGTGGGCCAGGTCTGCTGGACTGACCACCGGAAGCACCCCGTGCAGGAGGCGCGCTAGAGACTGGAGGTGCATAATAAGGAACCTGGGGCCTAGGTGGAGCTGGAATATCACTGGCTGCTGGAAGGGCTGAATGAACGGGGCGACCCATATGACCCCTACCATGACGACTTGCAGCTGGGGCACGGGCACCAGAAAAATGGCCCGACTCTCGAGACCTCTTGGCCTCCCTCTCCTCCCTGTCCCTAGCATGCATACCCTCAATCCTCCTAGCAATGCTCAGTGCCTGCTGATAAGAGACATCCGTCTGTAACTCACGAGCCATGCTAGATCTGATGCTGGGAATAAGCCCCTCAATGAACCGGTGAACCTTCTCGCGGACTGTAGAAACCAAAGCTGGGGCATGTCTATCCAAGTCAATGTAGCGTAAGGCATACTCTGAGACAGTCATAGTACCCTGGCGCAAACGCTCAAACTCCCCGCGCCAAGCATCCCTAAGACTTTGGGGAACATACTCCCTCGTAAACATATCTGAAAACTGAGCCCAAGTCAGGGAAGCTGCCTCATCCGGGCTGTCTAACTCATAAGCACGCCACCACTGGTAGGCGGCTCCTCGAAGCTGGAAAGTTGTGAAGGAAACCCCGCTCGATCCTGATATGCCCATAGTGCGGAGAATACGGTAGCACTCCTCCAGAAATCCCAAGACATCCTCTGATGCTAACCCACTGAATACCGGAGGATCATATTTCTTGAACCTCTCAAGTCTCCGCTGCTCATCCTCTGAAGCCGTTGCCCTACCCTCGGGCTGAACTGGTACTGCAGGCGGCGCAGGTACAACCTCTGGGGCCTGCTCAACATGCACTCGCTGCTCAGGAGTGCGGGCGGCGGGAGTCTGTACTCCTCCCCCGGCCTGGGATGTGGCTGCAGCAAGGGGAAGCAACCCTGCCTGAGCCAGAGTGGTGTACATACTCATAAACTGTGCCAAAGTCTCCTGGAGTGCTGGAGTAGTAGCGGCAGACGATCGGGTGTTTGGACTCCGACTGGTACTGTTGGTGGTGCCTCGGCGGCAGCTCGCGCGGGTGCTTTGGCTGCACCACGAGCGCGTCCTTGGCCTCTACCCAGCCCCGGCCTCTGACGGCAGCAGTAGGGGGCGCGGGTGCCTGGTCCTCTCGGGTAGCGCGTGTCCTCACCATTTGTGAGAGAATAGAAAAATAGAAGTTTAGTTGTGACGTCAAAAATCTCGCACGACAAGGAAATCAAATGAAGTAGAATTTTCCTAACAGTTACATAGCCTCCCGTAGATAAGTACAGACGTCTCCTTACCGATCAGCGAGACTCTAATAAACTGGCCCGTGTTCCGTGACTCCTATGAACCTAGAGCTCTGATACCAACTTGTCACGACCCCAGTTCACCCCCCATGAACATGTCGTGATGGCGCCTAGTCTCTACAAATAGGTAAGCCTAAAATGCGGAAAAATAAATAACTTGCGGAAAATAATAATTCAACTTTGAACAGTTAAAAGAAAATACGGTGTATAGATGCCATTTGGCATATACAATTCCATAACACGGAAGTCTACAATATCATCCCAAAACCCGGAAACACACGGGAACACAAGCTAACAGAAAATAGTATACTGCTCTAACTCCAGAATGTCTAAAACAACAGTAAGAAGGAAAGCTAACTGCTAAAGCTAGAATGAGATAGAGACTCCTTGGTCTGCGGACGCGGTAGATATACCTCGAAGTCTCTGCTAGCTCTCTCCGCCTCGAGGGTGATACGCCTGGGTGGAGGTACCTGGATCTGCACATGAAAAACATGCGCAGAAGGGGCATGAGTACACCACAGCGGTACTCAGTAAGTGCCAAGCCTAACCTCGGTTGGATAGTGACGAGGAAGGTCAAGGCCCTACTGAGATAAATACATATATATATATATACATAATGAATGACAGGACAATAAGCAGTGAAACTGAGAATCGACAATAAGGATCTACACAGTATAATAATAGTACAATAACGGAAACAGGGATAAAAGCAACTACAAGGAAATACCCCCTCACAGCAAGATAAATAATCGGGATATCTTGGTATCCTCAATATACGCTCTAGGGATCTCTTGGTATCCTCAATACATATGCCAGGGATCTCTTGGTATCCCGAGGATCTCTTAGTATCCTCAATACACGTGCCAGGGATCTCTTGGTATCCCGCACCTCAATACAAACTATAATTACGCACAGGGGATCTCCCGGGATGCCGTCCCGTAGTCCCAATTTAAAACACACAACAACCGCTCAAGGACATCAAAATAAAAACTAAGTCCGTAATGGGTAAACAGTAAATTCTGGCCTCACATGCTTCACATAATACAATTAAGGCAGTTTAAGCAAATAGGCAATTAATTCAACTAGTCATGCTCTTCTAAACTAACACAGGATATATTTTGCATGTAGAATAAAACAAGTAAGGAAGGAACTCAGTTTAAGTACTTAAAGTAAAATCGGATTTTTTTTCAATAATTTGCCCAACTACGCGTTTGTCACCTCACGTACAAGGCATTCAATTACCAAGTATCATATCCTAAGGGGAGAAGGTCCCCCACAAAAGGTTAGACAAGCCACTTACCTCGAACCGGCTCCAAAATCAACTTGAAACCACACTTTTGCCACGAGTATCCGACTCCAAATGGCCCAAATCTATTCAATTCAATTACATATCGTAAATAACATCTCAAGCAGCTGATTCTACGATTTAATTCAAAGCTAAGACGCGAAATTAGGTAAAATGACCAAAACACCCCTCAGGCCAATGTCTCGGATTCAGATGAAATTAACATCTTCAGAACCCTCGTACTCTCACGAGTCTACCCATATAAAAATCTCTCAAATCGGAGGTCAAAAAACCCATTCAAATCTCAATAATTAGGTCTATGAAGGTTTTACCCATTTTCCATTCAAAATCCGAAATTAGATGATGAAATTAACTAAAGATTGATGAAATATAACTAGAAAGGGTTAAAGAATCGTTACCCAATGATCTCCTCTTCAAATCCCTCTCAAAATCGCCCTCTCCCGAGCCCCAATTCGATTTTTCTAACTTTTGAAACTAAACCCTCGATATCACTATTTCTGGCCAGCTATTTCCGCATTTGCGGTCCTGGGACCGTATCTGCGGACAAATAGTCGCATCTGCGACTTTCATTAAAAGGCCAGGTTCCGCATCTGCGGTCACCCACTCGCAGATGCGCTTCCGCTTCTGCGGAAGAACAACCGCATCTGCGGTACCTGAAGAATTCACTAAATCCGCTTCTGCGGTCCCCTTAGCTGCATCTGCGGCGCCGCATCTGCGGTCCCCAAACCGCATCTGCGAAAATATTAGAAGCAGCAAAGTCTGCAATCTCTCAACTTCAAAAATCTTTCCGTCAATCATCCGAAATCATCCCGAGGCCCCCGGGACCTCAACCAAAAGCACCAATAACACCTAATACCTCATTCAAACTTGTACCAATCCTTAAAGCACCTAAAACAACGCCGGAAACTCGAATTAATCAATGATTCAAGCCTAAGAACTTCAAATTCTCGCAAAACACGCTTTCGATCAAAAACCTAACCAAAACACGTCCGAATGACCTGAAATTTTGCACACACATTCCAAATGACATGACAGAGCTACTGCAACTTCCTGAATTCTATTCCGACCCTCGGATCAAAATCTTACTATCGGACCGAAAACTTCAAAAATTCAAACTTCGGCATTTCAAGCCTAAATTAGCTACGGACCTCCAATACACATTTCGAACACGCTCCTAACCCCGAAATCACCTAACGAGGCTAACGAAACCATCGGATTTCCGTTCCGAGGCCGTCTTCACACTGTTCCGACTACGTGCAACTTTCCAACACTTAAGCTCTCATTTAGGGACTAAGTGTCCCAAAACTCTCCGAAAACCCAACACTGAACGTCCCGGCAAACCAAAATAGCAGAAATGAACTTAGGGGAAGCAGGTAATAAGGGATCGGGGCGAAAATTCAGAAAACGACCGGCCGGGTCGTTACAGACTTATTCTGAAGAAATTAATCAGCTTAAGGCCTTCTTACATGACAAGTTCAAAATCAAAGATTTAGGACAATTACATTACTTCCTAGGGCTGGAAATCCTTTACAAACCAGATGGCATCATCATTTCACAAAGAAAGTTTGTTTTGGACTTATTAAAGGACTATGAATGTCTTCACTGTCCAACCTTGACTTTTCCCCTTGATTCCACAATTAAACTAAAAGCCAAAGAGGGAACACCATTGTTTGACCCCACTTTCTACAGAAAACTGATTGGCAAATTGAACTTTCTCACTAATACTAGGCTAGACATAGCATATGGAGTCCAACATCTCAGTCAGTTTATGCATGATCCTAGGGAGCCCCACTTACATGCAGCTTATCACATGCTAAGGTACTTGAAGAAAGATGCCACTCTTGGCCTATATTTCAGCAATAAGGATGATCTTTCACTAGCTGCCTATTGTGATTCTGATTGGGCAGCCTGCCCTGACTCCAGAAGATCAGTATCCGGGTATGTTGTGTTTCTGGGAGGGAGTCCCATTAGTTGTAAATCCAAGAAACAAGAGACTATATCTCTTTCTTCAGCAGAGGCAAAGTATAGAGCTCTTAGAAAAGTTATTTGTGAACTTGTTTGGTTGTCCAGGCTGCTTGAAGAACTTACTGTGTCAGTTAATTTGCCAATACTTGTGCACCGTGATAGTCTTTCTGCTCTACACATTGCTAGAAACCCTGTGTTCCATGAAAGGACTAAGCATATTGAGGTCGATTGCCACTTTGTGCGAACCAAACTTCAGGAGGGGCTCATTTTGCTACATCACATTGGTACAGGCCAACAACTTGCAGCTGTGCTCACCAAGGCTCTCGTTGGGATCAAACACTGCTCTGTACTTGGCAAGTTGGATGTGATTTCCTCACATCCAACTTGAATGGGGG